ATTTGTATCTATACACAAACTGAAGTAACGGTAATGTCTGTGATATTACGTTAGCTAACCTAGCTATGAATGGTAGAACGCATAATCGACGATAACGGTGTTTGGACACTGATTTGCTAACTACTTTTAACAGCAAAATAGAGAGAAAAGGTGTGGCACTGAATAGGCAATATCAATGTTTTTGGTGTGATTTTTAATTTTGGTAATGTTGCTCAACAACAGTTTTAAATTTACAAGCCAGCTAACTCATCAAATTATGTGTAACATTATAGGCTATTGCTACAAAGTGCTACAAAAATACTAAACTTACCTTGGCTTCAACATTACATACACAGGAAACCTCAACATGGCTGTGAAAGACCTGAGGGACAAAGCAAGGAGATCTTTCAATGTAATAAAAAGAAACATTAAAATATATATTCCAATTGAAATTGGCTTAAAAGTTTCCAATTTGTACTAGAACCAATAATTCTATATGGCAGTGAAATTTGGGGGCCAAATCTAAATAAGGAATTTGAGAAATGGGACAAAATCTTTCCATACTGAGTTCTGTAAGAGCATCCTACAGGTGCAGAGAAAAACACCAAATAATCTGTGCAGAGCAGAGCTAAAAATACAGAAAAGATCAATTAAATTTTACAATCACTTAAAATCAGTTAACCCCCAGACATACCATCACAAAGCCCTAACATACCAGGAGCTGAAACCAGAGAAGAGTCCCCTCAGCCAGCTGGTCCTGAGGCTCTCTGCAGTAACAAGTCCCCAACAGCCTCAAGACAGAAACACCAACTCTAGCAGACCAAACCAAATTATCAACAAGCAAAAAGAAATATATATTTAATACTGGAAAGAAACGACCAAAACACAAAATAAATTCCAATGTTATCTGACCCTAAAAAGAGAATTCACACTGGAAAATTACCTGAGCACAATAAAATATTCTAAACTAAGAAAAATGCTTACAACATACAGACTGAGTGAACACAGCCTGGCCATAGAAAAGGGTCGCCACAGACAGAGCTGGTTACCACATGCCCTAAATATAAAATACTTAGACAAAAACACTTTGCAAACATTTCCCAAATATACCCCGAATTCAAATTTACACACAGAAACTCCCCTATTTACTGGGAGAAATGCCCAAATGTCAAATAATTGCTGCAAAATATATCTCATCATGCCATGAACTGAGGACAACCAGTGGAAGCTTAGACTAATAAATAATTGTAGTAATTTTCAAATTATTATTATTTTAATTGTTTGATATTTTAGTAACTTTTGTGTTTTTAAGTCTCACATTTGATACTGATTTTTTTTTTTAGTCTTTTTTTAATGAACTAATTAATTAATTTTAGTTATTAATATACACACATATACGGTTTTATCTATTTATTTTAAGTTTTTAATATAATTTTATAATAACACGTTACTGTGTCATTTACATAATTTTAATTTCTAAATTATTATTATTTTTGTTTTAACACATTTATTTTTACGGAATTTTTATATTTTATATATATATTTTTTTTTTTATTGTTATTTTATTTTGTATTAACACACACAAACACAACTTTTGCTGTTTTATTTTCTTATCTAATGAAATGTATGAAATTAATTGTCCTTATGTACTTTATATATAGCTTTGGCAATATTGTTGCTATACATTCATGCCAATAAAGCTAATTTGAATTTGAATTTAGAATTTGAATTTTACAAAAATACACTACTTGCTTATTTTGGCATACATTCCCACATCTCAAAATGTTATATACTTTAATATAACCTTTTACAATATGTTTTTCTTCATTCTAATTATCCAAATACTAGTTGTAGCAGTATTTTTATAGGATATAGTGTAGATTTCATAGACAAAACATATATGAGGTGGATTAGCATAATCCAATGAATTAAATATGTAAGAAAAAACACTAAACATTGTATGCTGACTTTCCATATGTAGAAACAAAGTAAACTACGTTTTTTCAAAAACTTAACATTTCGTCATAGATCCATGTACATGTTCAACATATACAGTCTATAGAAACAACATGTGATTTGCATTTCCATGAATTTCCAAAAATGTTTTAATACAGCCAGAGGTTCTGAAAAAATATATGAACAGTATAAATGGTATGACAATGTCTGACACTAGACACATTTATGATTATATTGGCCAACCCTAACCCGTAAGGAGGAGAATAAGTACAGGAGACTACCTTTGTACTCACAGTATACATTGGGTCATAATTCCAGAAAACATCACTGTACTGTATGTCTGGTGTCCCGACAGAACTCCAGGATGTTGTGCGAAGTCCTGCTGTCATCGCTATGGTTCCTGTTTGTTATCTTCTGGGTCGAGACAATAAGTGTTTGGCTGTTTCTGTCCATGTTCTATCAGGACCGGGCATTTTACCACTGGGGAGATGGGTAAGAGATATGTTTCTTTTGTTAATTTTTATATGTGCAAGTTTGTTCATCAGACAAAAAAGCCATCTATACTAAATACATATACTGTACTTTTGATATTCAGAAAATATTTGCTGTGTTTACAGCTTTATATTATACTTTTCACCTTATTGAATATCACTTTTTGTTGTTGCTTTAACTGAATTTTCCCAACATTATATAACTCTTTGATCTAATTTTATATTAAAGATAGGGTAGGCAATTTATTCCAGAAGCTATTTTTGTCATATTTGTTGAAATTTCCTTAACATCCTGACGGCAATCATAAATCAAATGCTCTGACAAAAAATGAAAAATATCCTATAACTGTGGCTGTCCCAGGATTGCAATAAGCAGAGCCAATAACCAATAACAATCATTTGATTCGGACTGAATTAAATGATTGTTACTGGTTATCTACAATCTGTGTATGGTTCATTCTTTGACTATTTCGTTTCAAAACCAAATCAAAAAAAACAAAAAACCAAGTCGATACCCATGCTGTCTGATCAGCATCTTGATATGCCGCACCTGTGAGGTTGATGGATTATCTCGGCAAAGGAGAAGTGCTCATTAACATAGATTTTGACAGATTTGTGAACAATATTTGAGAGAAATAGTCATTTTGTGTACACAGAGAAAGTCTTTTGAGTTCAGCTCATGATGAATGGGGGCAAAAACAAAAGTGTTGCGATTATAATTTTGTTCAGTGTAGAAACAACAATGATAGGCTCAGTGAAGCCAGATAACCCAGGCCCCAGATCTATGGCTTTGTTTTCCCCATTAACATTTCTTTGTCAACTAACTTGAAAGAAGAGGGAGAGAAGAGCAGGTAGAATGACATGCGTTGAAAGTTAAAACATCGTCTTCATCTTCTTGATAGGACCTAAACTTAGACCTTAAGAGTCCTTAAGCCCTTCCTGAACCAGTGGATGGAAAAACACTTGAATGGGAAATGTCCATTATTAGATCAGTGTCCTTACTGAGTGTACTAGGTTCATGGGTTAGTGATCATCTTTTGATGTTACAGGGTATTTGCAGATGATCCTGGAGAGATGATATACATGTTGAGCAGGTAAGAACTTTGTTTTAAAAATATGAAATTTGAGCTGTATGCATTTGTGTGCAAAGAATGAATCTCTTGTCTGTCCCCACAGAGGCGATACCCATATGCAGACAGAGATGCACACCTGAGATGGGAAGAGATCAAGAACTCCACTGAAAGGACTCTCATTAGAGGGCTGTTGCAGTTATGTGACTGAAGAACATATGATGAAAAGCAGTAGCTGTTTTCCCTTTGCACTAACGGCCTTGCACACTGTCGTGTACAGTCCTTATTAACATAGCTAATTGTAGGCCCCCTTTTAATAACAGGTGGCGAAGAGGTGCAGCATGCATGTCTGCATAGATATAGAGGGAGGTCAACAGTGATTGATGTGTATCACACCCACCAATGTAACATTTACATTTTCACTTTCAGATTCTGGGGAAGCAGAATTAATGTAGTAGAAAATGCTTTGTTCACAAAGGATGAGCACCTTTCTTTTATTTCTTGAAACTTTATTTTGAGACCTGCACTGCGATGGTGTTTTGAACATCATGCCGTTCTATGCAACTACAGTTGTTGCTGTCTGCAACTATGTTTGTGTTTTAAATATCGGATTGCAATAAATGTTGTTAGGCATATGAATGTTACTAACAATTTCCAGATGTTTTTGGTGTATACTTGATTCCACAATGTTTGACAATAAGTTAATTTTGAATATGGGAGTGGTGAAGCAATGTGTTTGGGTTTAGATATAAGTCTGAACACAATAGATGAATGATTGAGAGTTCATAGTTTGATCTGATTGAACGATTTTGTGTTTTTCACACTAAGAACTATTACATACAGTAGATGAACTGGCAATAGGGATTACGGTATTTGAGCTTGAAGGTTTATTATTAAGCTTTGAAATACTTCTACTTTGTCCACTTACAGGAATACTTCTACTTTGTCCACTTACAGGAATACTTCTACTTTGTCCACTTACAGAGGTCTCAATTTAAAATCATCTGTTATTTACCGACTGAACCATCACCATTGCAACTGCAAAGGTTCCATCTGCTCATGAAGATCACAAGATGGGACTGAAAGCCCTGGAAGTGGACTTGTGTTAAGAATTGTTTGTCGGAAATGTGTGTGTATGTGCACGTTTAATAGTGGGGGGAGTGTACCCCATAATAGGAATCCTCTCTCAATACAATATGTCAATGTTATAGCCAGTAAAAATTATACTTAAAAAATATAACTCTGTGATCCTTGAGCCTGTGTGATCATTGGTCTGCCATACATTTTTTTGTGTTACTTCTACTTTCTGTCAATTAAAGGGTTTACCAAACCAGCAAATAGTTTTGGTCTTCTTTCATAGCTGAGCCAAATCATGTCGCTGATGTTTTGAATCAATATGCTGAATAAATGGGAAGTATTTTTGAGTGGAAGTTTTTGCTGATACCTCACATGCCAGGGCAGTAGGGGTCGCTCACAATATAGGAAACCCTCTTCAGGGTTGTGAATATCTGCCACCGGGTCATCATCCTAGGCTGCCGGGTAGAAATAAAAATGCAGTAAACATTCTAATTGAGGCTAGATTAAATAGTTGTATGTAGTTGTAGTTTTACTTAAGTCAGGTGCTTTGATTGCCAAGAGGCGTATTTGTACAAACAGGTTTGCTTTTAACGTCAGTTGTGAGCAGTTTGCCAAAAACATGGCTCCAACGATTCAGACACAAGCTCAACGAGAAGACGGCCACAGGTAAGTTCGTTAACCTAGCTGCTGGTCTATTACACTGGACAATATATGTTAACTTTAACGATAAAGCAGCCAGGAGTCGTTAACATTAGTTAATAAGGTTGGTCACTTGTCAAGTGTGTACAACAATGCTAGTCAGCTAGCTACAAAAACAATCAAGCATTGCGCCAAGTTAACTTATGCTAACGTAGCATGCTAACCTTATCATTTAGCGTTAACTAACGAACTAAGATAAGAGAATTTGGACTATCCAGTGAGTTGTATTTACTTAAAGTAGAGGCAAAGCAAATAGCTAACACTGTGTCAATGGTAGGTCAACGAAGCTAGCTAATGATAGCAAGTCTGAATGTTAACAATCACGGAGACTTAATGGCAAAACAGTTACAGATGCAAAGCTTTTGGTATTATTAACGTTACCTAACGTTAGCAAATTCCCATATCAAATGATCATTTGAAAGTCGTTAGTTGTAATATCTTACCGCTTTTACAGTTATTTAAAGACGATGATATAAGTATGTGAAGACATGATATATTGAAATCAAAACATTTCGCACAAAGAGAATAAAAATAAAAGTGTGGTTCTTTAGTGGGCTAACGTTCCAATAAATAGAAATGAGTGGTTTCCCCAGGGTTTCGCTGTATAAAAAAATGTAAGCAACATAACGTTACATTTATTCATTTAACAAAAGAGAAGGATTAGGACAGCAGCAAATAAGGCAGTATTTCATTATTAATGACCTATCACTGAAATATTTGTCATATTCTAGCATTAGTTTATAAGAGATGGTAATAAATCTGACAAATGACTGTTTTCTCTTTTAGCAGGCCATCCTCGCATAGAACTGTTCCAGAGAGGTAAGCAGATTTAGCACCAATAAGTATCTACTATTCTGTACAGTAATCTGGAAAGCGTCTTTTGTTTTCTTTTTCTTTTTTCAAAGTAAGGTATGCAAACGTGTCTGGTTAACTCGAACTTTGTATGTCCTCTACTTTTGTGCCCATGACAGGTCAGGGGTGGTCTGTAGGGTAAAGTACTGCAACAGCCTGCCTGACATCCCTTTTGACCCCAAATTCATCACATATCCATTTGATCAGCACAGGTAAACATTCAGCTTTTCAATACATAGAGTACACACTGATGAACAGGGGCACAGCTTGATATCTGTTTTTGTGTTGTGGCAGGTTTGTACAGTATAAAGCCACTTCTCTAGAGAAGCAGCACAAGCATGAGCTCCTTACTGAGCCAGACCTTGGGGTCACCATTGATCTCATCAACCCAGACACCTACCGCATAGACCCCAACAGTAAGTCTCCAGTTGTTGTTACATGTCAGATCCCGTAATTTTTTTTAGAAACTTCTCTGCTTTATAAAATGTCTGTTTAGACTGAACCATTCTTTTAAATTGTCAGTACTGTTGGATCCTGCTGATGAAAAACTGTTGGAAGAGGACATCCAGGCGCCATCCAGTTCTAAAAGGTAAGGCTGCTAAATAAGCAGCTTTTTGTTGTTATAAATTGATGTGGAGATTTTTTTTCTTTAAGCATTTTCTTCTTCCTAATAAGATCACAGCAGCATGCCAAAGTGGTCCCGTGGATGAGAAAGACAGAATATATTTCTACAGAGTTCAACAGATATGGCGTTTCCAATGAGAAAGTGGAAGTCAAGTAAGTTGGCTAATTGTGTTCACTTTGAAATTACCTATTAGAAAAACGTGTGTGTGTGTGTGTGTGTGTGTATAACCTAGGCATGTTTTGTGTTTAGGATTGGTGTATCTGTCAAACAGCAGTTTACAGAAGAAGAAATCTACAAGGACAGAGACAGCCAGATTTCTGCTATTGAGAAGACATTTGAGGATGCACAGAAATCGGTGAGTAAGCATATAACTAGGCTTCCCAAATCCTTGTTTAACATTCTTTATATTTCAAGCAACCTACAAAATAAAGTGGACCGCAGGTTGAACATGGGTATTTGGAAGTTTCCATGGGTTTTGGCGGTTATGTGAACATTTCCACAGATTGGGAGGAACAAGACAAAACCTCTTTTTCAGCTATTAATGAGCAGCTCTGTGCTCAGCACTTCAACCTAAAATGCAAAAGTATTCTTGGTCAGCTTGCATGTTTAGGTCATTGAAAAATTAGCTATAGTATGTAAACATGTTGTTTCTCTTTAGGTTACGCAGCACTACAGTAAACCCAGAGTTACTCCTGTGGAGGTACTACCTGTGTTCCCTGACTTCAAGGTGAGCTATTTCACTCCAGTTATTGACTTTTAGAGTCTCTGTGGATGACTTGTAATGACATCACGTGGGCAATGTAGTAGGAGAAGTGCAGGGTAGGGAATTGATGTAACAAACACGCAACAGTTGCATCTGTTGTTGATCCAGATGTTTTTGTCAGTTTAAGGTACTTTAACAGTCAAACTGGTACTTCATATAATATTATTTTGTAATTTTTCTCTTTCCCCAGATGTGGATCAACCCATGTGCTCAGGTCATCTTTGACTCCGATCCTGCACCTAAAGACATATCAGGACCAGCAGGAGTGGAAATGATGTCTCAGGCCATGATCAGGTATTTACAAAATATCTGTTATGTGGATGTGTGTTTCAACAGCAACATTTTTGTATAAATACTAATTTACGTTTTGTGTCTCTTCAATAAAGAGGTATGATGGATGAGGAAGGAAATCAGTTTGTGGCCTACTTCTTGCCCAATGAAGAAACAATTCGCAAGCGCAAGAGAGACTGCGATGAGGGGATGGATTATATGCCTGAGGATCTGTAAGTAAAAATATTACATCAAGAGAATCATGGATCTTTTTTGGCTGCACTTAAAAATCCCCTTTACTTTGTTTTGCTTGTTTTTAACTCGCATACCAGCAATTAATAATGCATTTTATTTCTCTGTTTCAGGTATGATTACAAGATAGCCAGGGAGTACAACTGGAATGTCAAGAACAAAGCCAGCAAGGGTTATGAAGAGAACTACTTCTTTATCTTCAGAGATGGAGATGGTGTTTACTACAATGAGCTAGAGACAAGGTAAGTCATTGATCAAAGAAAAGAGTTATTCGTCATTGCACCTCAAACTGAAGAAAGGGAATGTGCTTTTTGCAGGAATAATTGCAGCTGGCGTGTTTTAGATCAAGTGTTGTGTAGATAGTTATGCTTTCGAAAGTATGTTGTTAATTGATATTGCAGAAAACAGACTGCACCGCCACTATGATATATGGGGCTTCATGGGAAACGGTTTGGCCTTGTCCTCTGACAGCCTTTCTTCTGTCCCCCAGAGTGCGTCTGAGCAAGAGGAGAGCCAAGGCTGGAGCACAGTCCACCACAAACGCTGTGCTGGTGTGTAAGCACAGAGATATGAACGAGAAGGAGCTCGAAGCCCAGGTGAGTGTTATTGTTACTTTCCGCTTTTTCTTCATGTTACACTGAACACTTTTTTTTTTTCTCTTTCTTTTTGTTTGTTGTTACTTTGTTGTTGGAAGGAAAACTATTCATTTAGATTGAGACTGACTGATCTTTTTCTTTTTATCTTTGTAACTAAAGGGTGCTGTTTATTTCAAATACACTGAAGTTTAGGAAATCATATTTATCATAGATTAAAGATTAGATAAAACTTTACCAACATTATTCAATGTTATCCAAACAAAGTAGTTGCAGAGCATGTGTTAATACCACATTAATGTTTGGATTAACTGCCATGTAGTTACTGTTTCCTGTATTTTGTTAAGCAATGCTTTCCAACATGACCCAACTAATCTAAAATAATGACTGAAACTGTTATAGCACTATCTATGAGCTTGAATTCTTGGGCCGTTAGTAGTATCCTGATGACTGATTTCATGTTCATTGCGGTTCTCAGGAAGCTCGTAAAGCTCAGCTGGAGAACCATGAGCCAGAAGATGAAGAGGAAGACATGGACAAGGACCTGCAGGACTCAGGTCAGTTAAGTTTTCTCTTAATCTCTACCACTGTCTTCTACTACATTCTCATCATTTAATGTTTACTGATTTGGCTACCTGCTGCACTGTTGTAGTAGTAGTAGTAGTAGTAAAAGGACAGTGTCTGCTGAATCATTAACCATCTGCATCGATGACAGGTGTGTTTTCAGTACCTTTTTCTGCCTGTGATATTTGAATTGTTTTCTCCAGGTGATGAGAAAGACAAGGGTAGTGAGAACAGTGAGGCAGATAACTCCGGTAGTGAATCTGAGAGGGAAGATGAAGACCGGGAACAAAGGGGAGAAGACGACGACGAAGAGGAGGAGCACAGAGGGAAGCGGAGGAGGAAGGCAAGCGGCAGCGGAAGTGAAAGTGGCGAGGAGAGAACCAGAGAACTGCGGGACGAGGAAGAGATCTTCGGCAGTGACGATGACAGCGACGACAATGAACCCAAGAACTCGGCCAGGAGCAGCGGGGAGGAGGGCAGCGGAAGCGAGGATGAAGGAGGGAACAGAGGAGGCAGCAGGAGTCCCAGTGCTTCTCCAGCGCACAGCGACCGCAGCAGCGACCGCTCAGAGAGGGCTCAGAGTGGAAGTGGAAGTGAGAGAGGCTCAGATTCCAGTGATGCCAGTGACAGTGAATAAGATCTGTGGTCAGGACAGCAAGGTGATGGCCACCTATCTTATCTGTATGTTCAGCTCAGTCTCGGGCTGTAGTTTCTTAATGATTGCAAAAATCAAATGAAATTTGTGTGCGAGATGCTCATTTGTTTGTGGACTCAGGGCATCTTTCTTCAATACAGTTTTTATTTGTAGATTAAAATTGTGCACCAGTAGCTCTTTGTACACCATTCCTCAGTTTTTTGTCAGATATTCAGTACAGGATCATGTAAAAACTGTCTTAGTTCTCTCTGCTTTTGACATGTCTTTGTGTTAAGGCTCTGAAACTAATAATAAAATGCCGGTGACATTTTGTAAGAAACTCAGTGGTCAAAGGTGGTTGTTGTTTTTCCCGCTTTAGCGTATTTAGGGAACCACTAAGTAATCCCATAAATTTTACAGCTTATTTTTTTCAGTCCAAGAAGGGCTGTTTGTGCTGCATTTATAAAAAAAACAAAACAAAAACATGATTAAATATGCCCATCCATCGTCAACCGCTTATCCTGCATACAGGGTTGCGGGGGGCTAGAGCCAATCCCAGCTGACATTGGGCAAAAGGCAGGGTACACCCTGGACAGGTCGCCAGTCCATCGCAGGGCCACACATAGACAAACAACCATGCACACACGCACACCTAAGGACAATTTAGAGCCAACAATTAACCTAGTCCACATGTCTTTGGACATGATTAAATATGTAATTTGTTTAATTGACGCTCAGTTCAGACCTTTGTTGGTAAAACAATAGGGGATTGCCCTTGTTGAAGTATTGATGTCAATGCACAACTGACCAGTTTAAAACTTGATTTCATACAGTACATTTATTAGTAATAACATGCACAACAATTAAAAATGAAAATCGATAGCCATGTTTCACAAAGAAAGACTGATAGTATCGGAGATACGGGAGATGCAGATTCAGCGAAAAAATGCCAGCTGGTTCTTCAGCCATTCTTCTGTCAAGTCATCAGCGTTTCTTGTTTCAAAGACCTCAGAGTAAAGCACACATTGTCACATTCAAAAATCTGAATAACAACATCATAAAGATAGAAAAAGTTCAGAGAAGTTAACTCATGAAATTAGTAATTGATAATTTGTTGGGCAGAAGAATCAAAACATACCAAATGACATCTGAAAGTATGAACATCCTGCTGAATAAGCTCCCAATTAAAAATAATCATTAGGGTTTGATCTAGGCCTATAGGCCTACACTTAATTATATGTTGTGTGTGTAGCATGAAGGAACTAAAATTTTCTATTTGTTATGCTGCGTTGTGCTGTATCAGGACTAATAAACTACCTTGTAGCTGTGGGTTTGAAAAAAAGATTCATTAAAAAAAATACTTGAGTGCAGATTGAGAAAATGGAGATTTGCAATGAGCATCTGTATATATTTGACACATTTACCATAAAAGGCACATTTGTAAACAAACACACATATATATACAATTTAAAAGAAGTTTTTTTATTTCATTCAAACACTTATAATTCTTGATGATAAACTCCAGGTCATAATTTTGACATACCTTTGTGAGCTCTGCAGCTTGGACCAGTCGATTTTTGCTGCCTGCATACATCATCTGTTGCTCTGGCTTACATCCTGTTAAAATGAATTTGACATGCTCAAAAGGGATTCTCTAATGTGACCAGTCAAACATACCTCAACAAATCCAAATGCAACTTCAATCGCTTAAATACATTTAAATAAAGTGGAGACAAGAAGAGATCCCTATTAATTTGGCAGTTGGTATATTCTGATATGCAGAACAGAAGTTTAATCTAAGGAGAAAGATTACTTTTGATTTAAGATACTGTAACTACTCACCCATTGGACTGGAGAAAATGAAACACAGTGGGTAAGACACCCTCCCATCAGCATGGACATATTTGTAGCTGTAGACAATGAATGTGCACAACTGTCAAGGAAGTTCCACTTTTTAAAACACTGATTTTCTCATTGCAGCTTCAATAGAGGAATTTGCAAATATACTTTCAGTGTATTTGAGGATTTTGTTATATTCATATATATTGATTGTTATAATTATTTAGTCAGGATATCGGGGTTGCCGCTCTGGAAGTTCTTCTCTCAACTCATCCAGTGAGATGTTCTAAAAGACAAAGGTGAGTCTCAGTGACTTTTAATGCAGAAGGAAACAACTACAAAAAATAACCCATTACAAAATGTCACTTGCCTCATATTCCTCCTCAAGGATAACAAGTTGTTTCTCCATATCTATTTTCACTAAGAAATAAGAATGAATATTTAGGCTTTTGGTTCTGTTTTGTATTTTTATGGGATTTGTGTTAATCAACTTTTAGAGTTAAATGTGTTAGAGTGGAGATATACAAGTAACTATAACATTCATCATTAGTATGTGATACTTGATACTTACTTAATATGGCCGCATTGTTGGTCTCTTTTCGGAATCTAAACTTTTTCAGTTTCTCTTTCAGACTTTCATCCACTTCACACACAACCAGGGAGCTTGACTGCAAAATAGGGTAAAAAAGCAATCAAATTGTGTGATAAAATTAAATGGATTGGTCTACAGGCCAGAAATAGAAACAAAGCTAGAGACATTTGCTCGATTTGTTCAGATGTTGAGGTCTCTATCCACCTTGCATGAATGCATTAAACATTCATGACACTATTCTGACATATTGAGGGCAGGAAATGTTTTTGTTGCAACATGCAAGAATGTAGTTTCCTGTGCAAAAGAGCACGGGGGATGGTCGGCTTGTGTCGCAATGGCAAAGTAAAAAATATATATACACAAATGTGTAAGAATGACAAATGATCAAATCCAGTAAATTTTAACAGAAAAGCTAAATCTTTCAAGCAATTGCATCAGTTTCACCTACCATTCTCAAAGGATCCTTTTCTGTCTTCAGGGTGACACTGCCTTGCTGAAACAGTTTGGCTGACAGCTACTCTCAGACTGTCAAGATCCTCCTTAAGATGGCAAGGGGAGGGCTGACATACAGCTAGAGCATGCATCAGGGCTGGTTCCTCTTTTCAACGACAAAAGTATGCACCAGTATGCAAGCTCAGTAGAGTATGAAACGTTCTGACCATCTTTTAACGCATATGACAAACCTATGAATCTCAGTATGACAGAGGAGATTGTGATTCATTTTAATAGATCCACACTGAAGTTGAAGAAGATTAATTTTACCAAATCCTATCCATAACCAGTGTGACAACATTAGTAGGATTAGGGTTACTTTCACTTCCCATGAAAGTAAAATATAGGCTACTACTAAAATCAAAGTAAGCGTTATCCATGATTAAAGGTTCCTGTCGATGTATCACTCTATTGTTGTTTTATGACTACATATGTACAATATGTGGTCATTGTGCATCACATTATTAACGTGGATCAGATTGTGAGGCACTATTACTGTGCCGTTGCGTTTTGGGCCACTTCCCTGCAAGCTTCAAACTGAATGTTTCTCAAACCAAATCTCACTATATGACTGTCATGCTGAAAATAAAAAAACTAGAGCCACAGGTGTGTTTTCCAAGGTGAATACATTACATAACATTACATAGAAATCAGTTGGGGTCCAGTGTCTTGCTCAAGGTTACGTGCACAGGAGGGAAAAGGACTTGAACCACCAACCTTATGATTAAAATAGATGATCCTCCCTACCCCCTGGGAATATTGTCAAATTAAAAGTGTAAACTATAATTGTATCTCACAGGACAAAAAAATGCTGTTATACTGTACTCAACAGGTGGAAACTTTAGGAAATATTGCAACTCCGGGAACACCCCAATCATGACATTTTAAACGAATCGATTAATTGGGAAAATAACATAACAATGTAAAAAGAATTTGGTGCACTACAGCAGTATTTATTGAGTAGTAATAACGTCTCTGGTAGTAACAATCAGCCAAGTTACTCAGCACAGAAAACCTGATATAAAACGTTTCATACGAAGACTTATATCATAATATATGTAAATATACGACGAATGTCTTCCAGTTGTCATTTTTTCCGTATGACCATGCCCGTAGTGCCTACTTTTACTACAAAAAGGCATGTGTGCCAGGGTGGGAACTAGACTGTGGGCGGAACAAAACATTACGTGCCGACCGGGCGTATGACGTTGTACACACGTCTTACGTCAACTCAAAATCGAAGTAGATTTCTCCAGGCGTACTCTTTATTTTCTGCACTGCAATAAACATTTTGTACATACATTCTTTAACATGGTATGTTTGAAACCTAGGGAGCGTGCCGCTGTAAAGGAGCATCCTTAAGGAATACCTCGTATGGGATCGAAATCTACGCTTCTTTCAGCTAAGCTAACGTTACTGCATCTATTAGCAAAACTTGCTAGCTAAGACGCTAGCGCTAGCATTTAGCTGTACCTACCGTCGAGCTAGCTATGCATTAGCACTTTAGCCTAGCTCGCTAACCAGTGACAACTGACAAAGGTAAACAACAAACCTTTTGTGTTTATTGTAAATCGCAACTCACATAACTTTATCTAGTCAACTAGCTACAACCTGCTGTCGATTAAAAGTGACTGCGTTTTAACGTCCCTGTTTGCATCGCTAAGACTGAAGTAACGTTACGAAACGGAGAAAGGGTAAAGCAACAGTGTTCTGAAAAACAGTACAAATGCCGAATCTCTCATCACTGATTTTTGCCGACCAAGCTAGTGTTCAGGAAAACGAGGCTTTCTAAAGTACTGAATCACTATGAAGCAATTGTATAGAAAATGGTTCACTGTTTCGAACAATTTTATACAGTCCCAAATGGCGACATCTGCTGGCCAAATCATTAGTATTGTATCCGTATGCATGGATTAAATCTGAGATTATGATGAAACAGTTAGGATACAAGTGGCTTCACCGCTTTCAGTGTTGTTATTTGGTTCAATAAAGCCAGTCACTTTTAAACAGAGTCTACAGCTATGATAAACACTGAGGCAGATTACCAAGAACACCCAGTATTCAAAACCAGCGCGACACTTCTCTGATGAGGCCGGCTTGTGGTGGTCACGTGGTTTTGGTGTTGTGAAGCAAGGCATCGAAACATCTTGCTGCGATACTCCTGCTTTGAAATGTCTATACTGTGTCGAATAGTCTGTCTCAAACGTCATAACTGAACCAAGCCAAATCTGAATTGAATGCTAGTCTGTTTCAACTTACTAAACCTCACAGGGATAATCACAACACCAGTCTGCTGATCAGATCTTAAAGTCAGACACTCATTAGTTGTTTAATCAAAATTATAGCTCATAATGTTACAGGTGATAGCTGCAGTGTTGGCAGTTAGTTTTGGCATGTAACGTTACCCTAGCTGATTAGAGACTACTTTTCTTCAGTAGGGATAACTAGTATATTATAATTAGCTGTCGTTAATACAGGGCACTGATGGCAGCCCTTATTCTTTGGATAGCAGCCTATTTTGACATTGTACGTTAAGAATTACTCTGTGTTACTGATCTGGACTCTCATCTTTAGGATAATGTGTTTGACACACCTTTTGTGAATCGCTTGAAGTGATACTTTATTAGTCAAAGCTTATCTCAGGTAACACCCTTACAATCATATCTATATAAAATGTCAGGAATTGATTTGCAAGATTTGTTCTAAAACTCCAATTTGACGTAGTATTCCTTATCTCTGCCATCCTTTGCATATCATAAAAGTTTGAAGCAGTGTGTTTGTCATGAATAGGCTGTGTGTGCCATACTCTCTTATTTATATATTACATACCTTCAATGTTAATTCAGTTCGTACCTCACTGAAGCTGATGATCCATCTCCATCATTTAAGACAATCATGTCTCTTGGTTGCAGCCTCGGTTCAGAAGAATGTACATACTGTAAGAATGTACTGGAAGAACATATTCCAGTATTAAGTCTGAGGGAGGAATAGATGGACTTAATCTGCTGAAGCACTCATGTTTTGTCTTTGTCTGTTTCTTTATCTATAGGGCACGGATGATGTGATACGGAACATGCCAGAGTGAAAAATTTTTTTTTCCTGTTTGTGTCATTACCAACTACTACTGACACACACTTTCAGCCTCACTTCTTAAGACATCTTCCCAATAATCCACACGGCGTCCCTGTCTGCAGTTTCTTCTGCACCATGTGAGGGCCCCTCGGTCCAGTCTGAGGGGATCCCAGGACTGTTACAAATACGACCCCGCTGTGCGGGGTGAGACTGATACTGTCTGTGTCTGAGAGAACAGTCTTTCCCATACCCCCCTCCCCATCCACACATTCCTGTTCTCCTTACCGAGGAGACACGCCATGATGTTCCGAGACCAGGTAGGTATCCTCACAGATTGGTTCAAGGGCTGGAATGAGTGTGAACAGACGGTGGCACTGTTGTCCCTCCTGAAGAGGGTGTCCCGCACCCAGGCTCGCTTCTTACACATCTGCCTTGAACACTGGCTAGCAGACTGCACAGAGATCCACATCCTAGAAGCTGAGGCCAACAATGCAGGTAGCTGAGTTTGTTTTTGAGTTTTTATTTAACACTATTGATTTTGTCTGATTGTGAAACACCATTAGTTCTTTTCATAAAATTGATGAAGGCTTATATTAAACCAGTAATGAAAGATTAATTGCAAGTGGAATTGTCTGTTTGCCATTTGTCATTAGCAATTGTCAGCCAGTGGCATCAGGAGCCAAAGGAGAAAGTTGTGTCCTTGCTGCTGTCCCATCTGCCTCTGCTGCAGCCACGCAACAGCGAGGCCAAATGTGAGTACATGAAGCTGCTGCAGAAGGTGTTGAGTCACACTATTGAGAGTAGCCTGTTTGTGGAAGAAAGCAGACAGTTGCTGTCCTATGCACTCATCCACCCTGCCACCACACTGGATGACCGCACCTCTCTGGCCATGTGGCTAAACCACTTGGAGGAGCACCTATCTAGTGGCTATGCACCCAGGGCCCCATCTAGCCCCTACCACCCGCGCCAGGGCTCAGATGAATGGCCCAGCTCTGCTGAGGCTCTGGACCCTGGCCTCACCTGGCACGAAAAGCCCCCTTCATCCAGCACATCTCCAGCGGGTCAGAACGGACACATGCCTTTCCCAGGCGGGATGTCATCTCCCATCAACAGCAATAACGCGGGTAACGTTTGGCATTCTCCTCATTTCTGAAATTGGGTGAAAACATGAGGAAAATTGACAAATGAGACCATCGTAGACATATACCCCTTATTGTACCAAATGGTGTGCATTTTGTTAACGATCTTAGATTGTTAACAACTTTTTAATTTCTTTGAAAAGAATTCAAAAGAATTTCTGTTGTTCCTCATTTGTTTCCCTCACCAGGTCTAGGTGGGCAGATGCAGCCCAGCCCTCTGAAGAAGCCCATGTGCGTTATTCCTTCCAGTCTACAGGCTTGTGGCTCTGAGTGGGTTAGCCAGGATGATGCAGGGGGCCGGCAGAACTTATTTCCAACAGACCACGCACCCCTTTCACCCCAGAGCAGTGTAGCCTCCTCAGGCAGTGAGCAGACAGAAGAACAGGGCTCCAGTCGCAACACCTTCCAAGAGGATGGCAGTGGCATGAAAGGTCAGAGTTCATTACTGTAGCGGCATTTGGCTCTGGTAAAAGCCGTGCACAGCCAACAGCTGTGGTGATATAAGCCGAAATGTAACATTACTTTTTTTTGTCCTTTGGTGTGTATTTGTTCTAGATGTTCCCGCATGGTTAAAGAGTCTACGCCTTCATAAATATGCATCACTTTTCTCGCAGATGACCTATGAGGAGATGATGATTCTCACAGAGCAGCACCTGGAGTCACAGGTTTTTAAGCCTCCCTTTGACATACACTGGGGCTGGGCTTTGATTATTCCACCCTCCTTATCAATTGTGAACATTACTGTCGTCAAACCTGATGATACATCAACTCTCAATGAGGCGTGAAATTAAGCAACGCACCCTACAGTTATATTGAGCCAGTCACACATACAAATGGTGCGATTTTGCCTCTGCCCCTTGGCTTTAATGTAACAAATGGTGATTAGGTTTGTTATTTAGTAACTGTATAAATTGCGTAGTGTTCCCACAAGAAATCACTTGTCTGCTTCTTGTGCCATCCTGTTGCTTTCTATTTGTCCTTTCTAGAACGTTACTAAAGGAGCACGGCATAAGATCGCCTTGAGTATCCAGAAACTGCGAGAGAGACAGAGTGTGCTCAAGTCTTTAGAAAAGGTAATTCAGAATGCTGATGTTCTTCTCATACTAAAGAAAACAGTTTTTTTCCAAATGAATTTTCACTTGTATCAAAAATGCATTTGAGTGTGTACTCCGTGATGTTCATGTGACACTTTCTTTAGTTCAGTGAAGAATTTCCCATTTTGCTTGTTGGAACAGAAACAGACACAAAGCAGAGCCAGTAGAGATTATGTGTCTTCCTCCCAAGATATTTCAATGGGGCAAATGTTTGCTGCCCCTTAGCCTCAAAACCAGGGCCCGTATTCATAAAAAATCTTAATGCAAAGAGTAGCTCCTAGTGACAAAATTCTAAGAAAATTCTTAGAAATGTGGGCGTTTACTCTTACAATTGCAGAAAAAATCCTAGTAAAGAAAAAAGTAATTCAGAAAGCATCTTAACCCTTAAAAGAGGCCCTAAGGTCAAAATTGTTAGGAGCACGGACGAGGACTTTTTAGAGGCTTAAGAGTTTCCTTAGTAGAGGAGAAAATGGCAGAAAGACAAAGAGGGAGAAGAAATGTGTTGCAGACAATGGATGACAGTGAGTTAATCAGACGCTATAGATTAGATCGTGCAGGGATCATGTTTGTGACTGATCTTATTAGAGACGCGCTAACATCTCCGACACAGCGCAGGAATGCCATAGCGGCAGAAATGAAAGTAATCACTACATTAAGATATTTGGCAACTGGGAAAATGCAACAATCCAGCAGTGATGATTTGGGTCTGTCACAACCTTCTCTAAGCAGAGTGATCACACAAACAATTACAGCACTTTCAGAACCTCTTATTGTGTCACAGTTCATTTCGTTTCCACTGGACATTCCCACCTTGCAGGCTCAAAAAACTGCATTTATGAATATAGCAGGCTTCCCTGGTGTGCACAAGCAGGGGGGATGAACTGTTCCCACGTCTGCTTCTTGCCCTGTGCTGTGACACCCGGCCCGAATTTTCCTTTTTGAATGGCCTTGTGTTCATCCACTAACTGGGCTAACAGTAAACACTGTTCATCTGTCCAGTTGGGCTTTCTCTCCCTTCTTGGTTTTGATTCCATGTTTGATACATTAAAACCAACATTCAAACCACCACTTAAATAGACATGCCAGCAATCAGTGTAATTGGAAAGAGTGGAACAATTTTTATCATTCTAAGCCAATCAAATACCTTATAGGAAATTAACAGCATGGTAAACAAAAAAAAACAGGATTTATATACACATATATAGTGTGTGTGTGTGTGTGTGTGTGTGAATAATCACAGTTTCACCATTATTAATATGCATTAATTAATTTAACAACACTAAGTTGATTTTTAATATTTAATTACATTAACAATTATACGTCTATAATATTTAAGTATTATCTAATTAATATAAGACGAATATTGACTTTATTTATGCCCCAGGTGAAATTGTTATTAATGAGAGGAATAAACTGAACTGTTATGCTCCGTACTTGTATAGCGCCTTTCTAGTCTTTTCGACCACTCAAAGCGCTTTTACATTACATCTGCATTCACACACATTCATACACTAAGTGCTCAAACGGAAACTAACATTCACACTCACTCATACACTGGCGGAACAGCCGCCAGGGGCAATTCGGGGTTCAGTATCTTGCCCAAGGACACGCAACCAGGGGGAGCCAGGGATTGAACCTCCGACCTTCCGATTAACGGCCAACCCGCTCTACCTCCTGAGCCACAGCCGCCCCAAGTTATTGTCATCAACTCTCATCCATACATATAGGTTTTAGTGAAGGTGATTGAGAAATTGAGAACATCTCTTGTGCAGTGTTATTAATAACTGAAATGCACGTAATTGGTAGTCCTGGAAGTTTGTAAGCTCCTGGTGTTATGTTAGTGTTTTACACCTGGCATATTGGCATACAAAGCCTAATATTTTACCAACACAGACAGGAGGAGGCAACAGGATGTAACGTTAAATGTTCAGTTACTGACTGTCTTGAGAGGACTATGGTCAGCGCAAAAGTTTAAGTACTTTGACCGCGGTGAGCTCACGGTGCTGCTGTTGCGGTGAGTCTGAAAGGTTACATGCTGCTTTTTTTTTGTTTTACGTTGCACCGAACGCCCGACTCTCACCGCTACGCCATCGATTGTAAGTGACACATTTATATTTAATTCCCTACCAGCTTGCCACGTTATTTAACTCAATTATTATGAATTACCTTTACTTGGGCGTGCAAAGCTGGGTGGTGATCCTGCATGTGCTGCATCAAATTTGATGTAGGTATTCGCTCCTTTAGTAGCAACCTTTTAACGGCAAGTTTTTGAATAGATGATACGTCAGTAACGCCCTGGTCAGTATTGGTGTACCCGAAATTCTCCCACACTGCCGACTTCTGCCGTCTTTTTTTTTTTTTGGTGGAAATAAAGCTTCACAGTTTAGTGCCCTCTGCCATAGTTAAGCCAGTGTACTCTAGTAGCCTAGCCTCCATATCTCTGATAATCACGGCAATTTAAGCAGATGTACTGCTTTTGTAACTTTTTGTTTTCATTTTGTGCAAGTTGCAACAGTTCCTTTACCTGCAACAGAAACACTCGGTGTAGTGCAGTCTTTACGATTAATTAACTGTGATGTTTAAAAGCGCGGTTATTAGTGATATCCGGTAATCGCTACATCCCTACCTCTGAATCGCTTATACATATACGCATGTGAAACTGATGTTGTCATCTCATTGCAGGATATTTTGGAAGGGGGAAACCTGCGAAACGCCCTCCAAGAGATGCAACAAATCATCATCACACCCATCAAGGCCTACAGCCCACCCAGTGCAGCACAGACTGCCTCGGACACCTCCACCGCCCCGGACACAGCCACCTCCTCTACAGAAGCCACAAAAACAGGAGCAGACAAAGAGCCGGCCTCAGAGGGTTTCCAGTCCCACAACCCACCTCCCTGTGATGGAGACTCATCAGCCACACCCATCTCAGACGGCGACATTGCTGGACAGTTCACCCGAGTCATGGGTAAAGGTAAGAGAGATGGTTTTTCCCAGCTTGAATTATAATTACAGCCGTATTTTCAATTTACCATTCATCAGCCATAATCCTTGAGAGGGTTGTTTTATCTCGACTACAGATCTATCTTGATAACAGTGATTTTCTTGAACAATTCCAATCCAGCTTTCGACCAAAGCATAGCACAGAAACTGGCCTGGTTAAGATCACCAATGACCTCTGCAGCCGATTCCGGTCTACTCTCTATTAGGGTTGCTCAGTTATATCAAAAATCGTAATCAAGATTATTTTGGTCATAATTGAGATCACAATTATTAACACGATTACGGATTAGGTTAGGAAACATCATGCATATATTAACCTTTTAAAATTAAATGCTTCATTTCTTTAATTAATATGCATTAGCCCAAAAAGCCCCTTCACTAAGAAATAGTAGTGATCGCATGTTATTAACTTTAAACAGCATCTTATATGGATGGAGGCGCAAAGCAGTGTTTGCCCTGGTTGAAGAAAAGGTAAAGGGTGCGCTGGATTTATAACATAAGATAAAACGAGTGTCATGGCGAAACAGCATGCGGCACAATAATCGATTAAGTTCTTTTTATAATCGTTGGAAGCCAAAATTGAAATTGTGATTAAAAATTTGTTTAATAGAACAGCCCGAATCTCTATCCTCATCCTCCTGGATCTCACTGCAGCCTTTGAAACCATATCCCATAAGCTCCTCATTGCTAGCATTGGAGTTGGGGGTTCAGCATGGAGTACTACAAGAGCCACTTCTGTTTATTATTTTCTACTTAGCCATGTTCTACTTCCACCTCCAGTACTCTCACTGCCTGTCTCCATGATATACAGATGTGGATGATGAACAACTACCTAAAATTCAACACTAGTAAGACTGAGCTACTGCTCATTGGTTCTAAATCTACATTCTCAAAAATTAGTATCTGTTCACTCCCAGTTGCTGAAGCCATCGTACCTGTCTCCACACAGGTTAGGAGCCTTGGTGTTATCTTGGACAGTACCCTTTCTTTCTCCAGTCATATAAACAATGTCTCTCAGATAGCCTTTTTTCCATCTGCGAAACATCTCGCAATGACTACATCAATGCGATCCTGGCAGGCATCCCCCAATAAACCAACTCATCCAGAACTCTGCAGCATGGATTGTTACACACTCACAGTCCACGGAACATGTCCCTCCACAGCTGATTCAATTACACTGGCTCCCTGTGCCACAACAAATTAACTTCAAAATGTTATTATTAACATTTAAAGCTCTTCACAATCTATCCCTTGCTTATTTCAAAAACCTCCTTCAGACTTTAACTCCCTCTCGCTCTTTACGGTCTTCCACAGTAAGTCTACTGGCACTGCCAGCTGTCAGCCTTAACACAATGTGTTACCTTCTCCTATGCTGCACCCAAACTGAAAAGTGCTCTTAAAAGCCATCTTTTTAAACTAGCTTTCTCACTTTAACAGCATCTACTGCATCTTGTTCTATACTGCAATATCGATTTTTATTTTATTTCGATTGTTGGTGTTTTCTTATTGTTTTCTCATTGGTGGTATGTCAGTCTTTCCCACATAAAGACATTACTTGGACGGACGGCCTAGGTATATTAATGTCCGCCAAAGTATATTTGGCCACCCATTTGAGCATTTTGCAGAGAAACAGAGAGAGATGTTATCTGGTATTACGTTACATGACGCTGAAATTGTCGATATTTTACAAGCACGGACAAGGTAAAGCAACAGTGAACACGCCAGTGCAGTGCAGATGTCATGCTATGAAAAAAAATTGTGGGTGGAAAATCCAAAACACTCTCCTTCTACACTGTATGTTTTCTTATTGCTGCTTGTTGTTTTTTGTTACGGATCTTATATGATGTAAAGTCACGTCGAGTTTCATGAAAGACGTCATCAAATAAAATCTATAGTTAGGGCCTGAACATGAAACATGTGAGGACCCTATTGAAATTATAAGTATTATTCTTCCTTTCTTTCTTTTTCCCATTTGAATCACACTTTTCTAATGTACCTGAAAACTCACCAAACTTTGCACACACATCAGGCGTGGTGAAAAATTATGTATTTTAAGGGTCTCACATATGGGTGTGGCAAAATGGCTCCATAGCGCCACCTACAAAATTTGAAAAAATTAGACCCCGTTCAACCTACAGGCACAAAATTTTGTGGGGACATGTATCATATCAGGAAACACATTAAAGCCCATGCACCTGAAGCATGCAAAACCCATTTTTCACTGTTCACACCGTTTGCCTACTTTAACAAACTGCTCCTAGGGAATTAATTGGATCAGCTTCAGTTTTCTACTATTCTAAAGGCATTGATGATGAAAAGTTGTGCTATCTGTGAGTTTTCAAAGATCAACTGCGACGCAGCTGCGTCATGGCCCGACACGCGTCAGGCCGCGAGGGCCCACCCAACGCTGCTTGCATCTTTAATTATTATTAAATCTATATCTGCAGATGTACCTCAGATCTGAAATTTATTATTGGACATGAATGTATAAACCCTGGCTGTTTTGTTGTTTCAGTGTGCACCCAGCTGCTGGTGTCAAGGCCAGATGAGGAGAATATCAGCTGTTACCTTCAGCTCATTGAGAAATGTCTGATACATGAGGTGAGTAAGTTTTTTCTTTTGCTGAATGAGTTTCAGTCATTTGTGTGCATGAATTTTGTGTAAGCACACCTAATGTCAGATTTATTGCAGAAATATTAAATTATGTAAATACCGTGTAGATAAATTTACATTAAATGTTAGTGATAGAGAAAGTTGTAATCATCTATAGATTTTCCTCTTGAAATGAAGAATAAAACGAGCTCTTTCCTTTAAAAATAACAAATTCCAGGTGCGTGTGCTGAAGCCCTTTCAACTCTGTTTGAAAATCGGATGCCTTTTTTCTTTTGCGGTATGTTCTCTGTGTCAGGCTTTTACGGAAACTCATAAGAAAAGGCTGGTCTCCTGGAAGCAGCAGGTCCTCAAACTGCTCCGCCTGTTCCCTCGGAAAGCTATGCTGGACATGCCTGTGTACCGACAGAAAGGGTAAGACTCTGCTGGCCGTCTTTTAGCTTTGATCTCCCTATTTAGCAGGGGAGATGTCACACCAGCTCAATGTTACCTTCTTCATGCACTTATCCCTACTGTCTAACTTTTACTTTGATTCTCTTTCCCCCTCCCTTATTTCTCTCTCTTCCTCATTCAAATAATACCTACAATTTCATATGAAGAAGCTTCAGAAGTTGAACATGCAGTTCTCTTAACTCTCATTGATTTTTATTTGTTTTTCTTACTCCAGCTGGACCTATGGGTCCAACTCCCTCCCCACAGCAGGCTCTGTGAGTGGAGGTGTAGCACGGCGAGGCCAAAGGCAGTTCCAGATGACGCCTCGTGGACTCCCAGCTGGGCGCATGGGTCTTCTGAGTCCCGGCGGGATTGGAGGAGCTTCTCCACGACACACACTCACTAGTCCTGCGCTGGCAGGCCAGGGTAGACAAGTCAGTATTCCTGTCACTGAATGAGCATTTTACCAGCAGTTTGGGTCACGTGTAGCTTGCTTTAAATTGTGATGGATCATATTTATCGATCATGTGCATAAATCTAACTACATAGGTTAAAGTATTTATTTAGGGTATCTGAAACTGACTTCATATTTTTAGTGCAGTTTGTGTTCTGAGTCTTTCTTCAATATCTCTATTTGTTATGTCTGAAGCTACTGACCCACCTAATGACATGCCCAAGGACTCTAATACACTTTGTAAAGATTTATTCTGAAAGGAAAACATGAGACTTTGGCATTTTAATCAGTACTCACAAGACAGTACAAGGGGTTAGGCATCACATTCTGATATGAATTGATCATTATCATAGCTTGAAGAGTTTCTGTTTAATGGCTTCACTGAAAGATAAGCAAACCATGCCAACCTCCTATGATGAGTGGCATTTGCGTAATGAGAACTTATTTCCCTCTATAGAACCTGTGGTTTGCCAACCCTGGGGGCAGTAACAGCATGCCAAGTCAGAGTCGCAGCTCTGTGCAGCGGACCCACTCACTCCCTGTCCACACTTCCCCGCAAACCATGCTCATGTTCCAGCAGCAAGGTATTGTATGAGCCTCTTTTATTCTCCATGGGTTCACGTGGGTGTATGCACTCACCTTTTAGTCTATCACTGTCCTTGTTTACATTTTGATATTTGTCAGTTATGCTTCACTTCATCTTCTGTTTACATTTTACCACACTAGTGTCAAGTAATTTACTTTTTTTTTATATACACCCCAGTATCACACATCGCAAATTTGCCTCAAGGAGCTTTACAGTCTGTACAGCAGATGACACGCTGTTATCCTTAGACCCCTTGATTCAGATAAGGAAAAACTATGTGTTTCTTATCTAGAGCTCCTCAAGGGAAAAAAAATCAAGCTTACTTGGAAATGGTTAATGGAATAGAGATTATTTGGAATTGGCAGATTTGACTCTCTTGTTAGTGGGTTTTGCGGGCAACACAAGCTACATTATAAAAAAGGCCATTTGGTCAGATGCCAAAATAGAGAACTGCTCTACCTCTGTGCCAAGGACAAAATAACAAGACAAGACGTAGCGGCATGTTGCAGTAAACAATCTGTCACCTCGTACAATATACATAACCTTTTAGTTCCCTTGTCTCCTGTGCCAGATGCCACACGAGTATTGCAAATTCATCTGTAATGGTCCTGTCATTTTCCAACAGAGTCATCATAGGACGTTTCCATAACATAGCATTCTGTGTGAAAGCCAAAAACTCATAACTTAAACAAATGTATGAACCCAGCAACAATTACAGTTTCCTCGACTACAGCTAGGGGCTCGTGCTGTTGTTACGTTCCAAATTATATACAAAAACAACAATAATACAGTATTTCTATAAACCATCATTCATAACAGAGGACTGGATATACAAGATGTATTGTATTTTAAAAGAAATAATTGCTTAAATGTTAGACACCTTTAATGTCAAACTAAAAACCGGAGACCTTCACAAGACCATAGACAGTGCCTCCTAACTCATTGTGCATTAGGTGATTTCAGTGTGTGGACATTGTTACTGAACTGTTGAGCTTTTTCAGTTAATGCTCTGCTGTTCAAATTTTCCCTCTTAATGTAGTGAGAGCTAGCGGTGGGGGAAAACAATGGTGTATTCTAACCACAGGACTGCCACTGATGATTTATTGCACCTTTCTCCGTAAACCACCAGTTACTTGAACTGACGAGCTTTCGAGGTTTCCATCATAAGCCATCACTACACATGATTTAATAAAAACAATGTCACATTTTCTAAGTTTACTGTAACAGATAATAGTAAAACAAGGAATCAGATATACATGTACAAAGTGGGCAAACAGATAAGAGACTGGAAGGAGTTCACTTGGATAGTCTTTGGTAACTCCTTCTCTGTTCTATTAAAATATGTGTCTTGCAATAAAGAGACCAATCAAGAGTGTATTCTTCTGGGCATTCCAAATGATCCAATTTAAAGCCATCTAGCTCGTTACTGCACAGTCTTGCAGCTAAGTACAAAGATCAGTTAAAGGTCAAACTGAACACCCAATTGGCCAATCCCTGGCCTGTGTACTAAAGATTCACTTTTAAGCTCTGCTCTGTACCTCCTCATACGTGTATTATTCTTTATTGTGTCTGCATCCACTTGAAACAGATTGGAGTTTACAACTGACATCAGAATAAATCTCAAGAGCATCTTGAGTGACCACTTGTGATCACATTCTGGTTTGTGAGCAAGTGAAATCTAAACTGTGACTGATGCTAAACATAAAAGACAAACTTTGTTTTAGCCATTCAACTAGGGAAGAGGACTGCAGAGGCGACCTGGCACCTTACCTCAGTGAAAAGGGTCTCACCCACTTACATGTTCAGACAGACTACATTTACATCCAATAGCCATTTATTTTAAGGAAATGTGTGAACAGCCAGTAAAGTATTTGTGATGAAAATGTAGTGGGAAATAAGGCGGTCTTATAGATGTGCTTGCTTTTCATACATGCAGTAGTTTGGTTCAGCATAAAGGTTACCAAAAGCATTATCAATTAACATAAAGAAAAATGTTTTATTGAAATAGTTTTAAGATTTAGATTTTCCCCAGTGAGTCTAGCAAACCTATAGGTATATCATTTCTTTACTGGGGTCTAATTTTTTGTAGTTTTGACAGTGATTTGTACCTCTTATGATAATATTATGAAGCTGCGCCAGTGCTGGTATACATACTTTACAATAGATTCCATTACAACAAGCAACACAAATGACCACATGATGAAAATAGTTCTAATCGCCAAATCATATTTTCATTATCATCGCAATAAACACATTGCAAAAGGCTGCCTGAAGCTCAATAAAAGAGACAATGGTATTAGCTCCCTCGGGGCTACAGACCGTATTATCACGCTGCAGCCTCTGTCCTGCTCACTGTTGGCTTACACACACACATACACACAACAGCCAGCAGATCAGAGAGGCTGTGGTGTAGACAGTGTAGTGAAAGTGAAGTTAAGATAACTCCAAGAAGGCGATATTTTAATCTGCTCTGTCCACAGTCTCTCATCCTCTATGTTTTACACTAGCACAGCACGCTGGCATGGCTAACAGTGAATTGTTACAAGTAAAACTAAATGTTCCCTTCATGTGGTCTAATTGTTTAGATTAGTTTGCCACGTACCTGAAAATTTGGCACATTCTGATAAACCTATCTGCTGGCTGAGACAAACCAGCCGCTGCTCTCTCTACCAGCAGTAATATTACCTGCAGGCAGTGACAAACAGCAGCAGCAGGAAGAAGGACAGAGGAGAGGAGGATACTCTGACTGATGTCTGAGTTCTTCATTCATTCTTAACATCACTCAGTGTAGTGATGTCTGGAATATAATTTATTTTGTTGACATTTTAGATTTGTTTCCACTAAGATATCATTGAGTGTATATAGGGAAATTTAATGTTGCTGCTCTATTTAGTTACATTTAAAATATTCAATTCTAATCCTGTAGTGAATTTAAAAACAACCAGGCAGCTAAAATGCACTCTTCAATATTTATTTATCACAAGTCATATGGTCATCAATGTGTTATCGCACATCACAGACTTTCCTCATGTCGTCCAGATTAAACTGTTTCAAACCAATTCCACCTTCACCTATTTTTTTTCATTCAAAATGAAGATGCACTTACCTTAAAGTCCATTGTAATGCTGGACTGTGTTGTAAAAGTGTTTGTGTGCACAGCTGTTCAGTTTGATTGGTCAAAGTTTAAACAGGAAGTAACTGTAAACTCTACTAGACATTACCAACAGACAGTTTGGATAATCAACTCTGTTGGCTTCAGTTGGTCCTTATTAGCGGCAGATTCAACATGTTGAATCTTGTTTTGTTTGGTTTAACTACTTTAATTATGCATTTAGTATCAGTCACCTGGTTTGTAGATTATTAGGTCAAAGAATTATCTGAACATTACATTAACATGATAGCAGGTATTCGTCAGCACAACTAAACAGGGTATCTTTTAGGTGGTTAAACTATATGAAGCATAGTCATGTCCTGATGATGGCAACTGTTCTTTTGTAAGTAAAATTGGCCAGTTAATTATCTTTAGACATTATGTATTTAGAGAGAAATACACATGCTTTTTAAAATTTAGAGCATGAAAGAATTTGACTTTATGGCAGTCCTGACAGTAATCTAAATCGTAATATTCCTGTGGACTGAAACTGTTTCTTACTAATTCCCTCAGAATGCCAAGTTCCAGGTGCTGACCTGGAGATCAACCCCACGCTGGAGTCACTGTGCCTCAGTATGACAGAGCATGCCTTAGGGGGTAAGTGTCCTCAGCAGCCCGCTACTAAATAGGCCACAGGCTGGTAAACCTCACACACCTACCAACAAGACAACACATTATGTATTATAACTCTGCAATGAGAAAAGGGATTTTATTAACAGTTTGTGTCTATCAGGGAAAGCATTACATACTAATTTGTTCACACACAACTTCCCCTTTGCAAACATAATTCATATTTCATTAGATGTATTTCTGTATTAAAATTATATAACATGTAAATTATACACAAACATGAGTCAAGTTACAGTCTGGTTCCTCTTGCGTAAAGAGAAAGGCACATACCTCTGTGCATCGTATGTTGTACTTTTGCATGAATTTGCATGATCATGTCATACAAGTTTAAGACTCAGTAGCTCTGTAAGATTTTACTGACTGATAAGTTACTGGTGTCTTTTTGTGTTCAGTCTGAAAGAATGTTTGGCTCACTTTCTGGAGGTGTAAAAGATCAAATAGCAGGAAAATACACATTGGTATTTATCTACAGATTGCTGTTTAAACTAAATTTGTATTTAAATTTAAAATTATATAATAATTAATAGTAATGAATAATTATATGAAAATAATAAAGAAATTACATCAAAGATCATCCTCTCTTTAGTTGACGTACACAGCAATGGCAGATGAACAAATGCATATTTTGGAGAAAGTAGTTCCAAAGCAATTGTGAGGACGTTGTTTATATTCAATCAGCAGTGACGTGTGTCTTCCCAACTTGTGGAAGGAGCTGCTGCTTATCCAGAAATGTATCTAATAAATATAAGAAATGCAAAGTCCAGTGGTTGACGTGCCATAAAAATGCATGAAAAGCATGCAATTAATGTAAAAATTCATGGGCACATGAAGAGGCATCAATAACTTTTAATGCCTGTGGAAAGGAGAAGAAGCAGTAGAACGCTCAAACTGTGAACTGAATTGTGAATGGTGCAGTGTATTTTATGACTGTATATGTCTTGAAACATATTTATTTCCAATCTCCTCCTCAGATGGAACAGACCGGACATCAACAATATGAAAAGAAGAAAGGAAAAAAACACTTCATTTGAGGCCTGTTAAGTTCCTCATCACCCAGCACAAAGATATACGTATGCTTAAGAAAACCAGGCAAAGCAGTCACTACAAAATGACAAAAAAACTGTGTATATGTTCTCTAATATTTTTGTACTTTATTATATACAACTAAGTTTATTAAAAATGGAATACAGATGATTATTATATTGCAAGACAGAGGAAAAAAACACAAAACTGCTCCATGTCACCTGCAGGACTGTGACATGATGTGCAGAGGCTCAGTTTGCCGTGGTCTGAGCGAAAAATGGTGGATTGGTGCTGTCTTAAGGGTTCAGCCCTATGAGTTACTTTTCTTTTCCTCCTGCCTCGGAGCAAGGCTTCTTTCCAGAACACATCCCCAGCACCACATAAGATTAGTAGATTCAAAAAATTTCCAGCCAGAAGTAAGGCACTTTTATTAAAAATTTCTCTGATATTAGCCTCCAAACTATAACTGGCCCTGCGATACACTCACTTGTAGACAAGTGTTTGATATACAGAAACCAATACACTTCCTGGCCACCCTAATTGTTCTGCATTCAGTGCTAGTGAGGACTTGTGTTGGTTGAAACATAGACAGCTTTCTTTGGTTCTTTTGATCCTCTCTAGACAACATGTTTGTGCAGGAAACGGGAGGACCAAAAGGATTTAGGAAATGCTTGTAATTCAACTGTAGGCTTATTCTTTGTCTTGGTTGTTTTCCCTGAACTCATAATCAAAGTGACTGTCCTCCTCTAAACTTCTACAAAGCCAAAGAGAAGGGTTGTGCGATTGTTAATTTGAGAAGGATATTTGGAGTGAAATGTAACAGAATGGTATAATTGTTTTTAAAGAACAGCAGTTTGAAGACTTCATGCCAGCTGCAATTTGTCTGTTATTTTATGCCCTACTACATAAATGATGATGAATCTCATTTTGTGCCGAGGAATCCCCAGAGGAGTGAATAAGGGCTGGTGGGGTTTGTACTGTGCGAGAGCTGATTTGATATTGAATTGATAAAAGGAAGGAGGGTAGAGTGTTTTCAATTTACACTCTAATGCTGGGTGAGAAAACTAAATGAAACCCATCTCAGCCCTCCGCCCCCCATATGATTGGCTCGGGAAAATGAAGCTTGATCTTGTAATAAATGCTCCGGATCGCAGCGTCTCACCCTCGCAGTGCCCTCTTCCTCAAATGGCCAACGTGATGATTTGATGAATCATACTTTTCAAGGTGCTTGACGATGTCCATATTTTCTGGTTGTGTCTCAGTGTGTTTCAGTCTCAGAACCCTAACATTATCATGTGGTATCAGTGTTGAATCAAAAACTGTCTTATACGGCCTCTGTCTTTGAATGTGGCAGAGCGGAGGTGCATGTGTGTGTAATATGGTCTTAACTTTTGGATCACTTTTGGTTGCATCATAAGGCAGGGATAACCATTCACATTTTATTTCAGCAGAGTCATAGGAGGTCTGTCTAGTAAAAGATGGTTATTTACAGATATGTTTTCCAATTGTATTTTTTACTCTCCCTTGATATTGATAACTTATGCTTATTTTCTATAATCGCATGTTTTGCCACACTAATACAGCACTGTTGTAGATAGAGAACGTGGTGGTTGATGGTGCCCAGTCACCAACAGCTAGAGAGCAGAAATCTTGCAACTAATGTTGTATGTTTATATCGCCTAAATGTCACTGTTTACATCTCTCTGGGATAACGCCCAATTCATGTTATGTGATGTCATGAATTCTCCATTGTCTCATTATGTAACACATTAAAGATCTGACGTCTTCTCGCACATGAGCTGGCTGGGTAGAGCCTGAAAACAAAAGTCATCTACCCTAGTAATCCATGGACTCTGTCTGAGTCTCAGTAGATTTACAGTGATAACTGTATGAGGCATGTAACGCCTGCTTCTCTGGTCATGCAGTGAAGAGAGAGAATAGCTTTTCCTGGCCTTGTGAGTGAACTGTTGGCTGTCATGTCCTGATAAACTGTTAATGTGGTGCCTGAAATGCACAGCTCCAGCATCCTCAATATGTTGATTTAATGGTCTTGAGTAGTATTCTAGTCATGGATTTCTTCAGAGCAGGCTCTTGGATAGATCTGACTTACTAAATGCATCACACTCATGCTTGTGAAAAAGGATGTCTGCTAGTTAACAATGCTGACAATTTTAAGACTTGGCTATCTCATTTTTAACTATTCACTATACTGTATATCATATTGTGTTTTGTTACAAATGGCTCAGATTATCCTTTTCATGGCCTCTGTAGCTTTGTACAACCCACATATTACTGCAAATAGACACAGGTACAATGCAGCAGATTTCAAGTGTCTGTGCATAATGAAGATGCAGCAGGGGATGACGATGCTTATCTGAGACAAAAATTATGTGATTATGAGTAAACTGAACACTAATAATAGGCCAAGGAATATGTTTACTCCATGTTTACATTCCAGTGATGCATGAAATGATTTGGGAAATACACTTCATAAGTTCAGCCTGGTGTATTTTCACATACCAAGCATCCACTAGGAGGTACAGAGCCTGTGTCATATGGAGACTTACCAAGTGGTCTCGAGGTCATGTTAATGTACCTGCCAGGCTTAATTATTGAATTAATGCAGCCAGCTAGAGGCTACATTGATTATATTTGTCTTGTACAATTTATATTTAATTCTGATGACTCCCGTGACATTTTCTAATATTTTATGAACGTTTTGCATCCCATGCTTACTCTACTTTTTTACGGTCACTTGTGTGTGAATGGTATGAAGTGCAGCATCCGTCGGATCATTGAGAGTCCAAATAAAGAGGTTCATTTCTTATGCAACTTCACTTGTGGTTTGTGTTTAATTACTCTGTTACACATTGGATACGACTTTTAGCAGCTGAGAATAAGTTGGTTATCTTTTATTGCTGTCATTGTCATGTTACATACGTCCTTAATGTTCCCGACGTTTCGAAGAAATTACTCCAAATACTTTTTACTTCCGGGTTGCACGGTTTCAGCAGTTCATTTACAAGCTAATATGAGTTAGCCGCCTTTTTGTTACCGTCATTAGTTTATCTAAGGAGGAACAAAAGCTATTTCGTCTGGAAACTTGATAACAACTGCTTAGGTATGTTAATATTTTGTGTTGTGGTTGAAAAAGATAAATATATGTTGCAGTAAATACAACTTAACCTTTCATTCTACAGTTAAGAGTACTGAAGTTAGCAGATAGCTAAGTTAGCTTCCCTGCTAAGTTAGCCTACCGAACATAAACAGCTGCTTGCTAACGATTGTAGCTTGGTAGCTAACGTCAATATTATCCATTGATATGTTTCACTTCAGTTAAGTCGTCCATTTACCTGATGAATCTGCCATCCTATGAGTATTTAACGCCAGCTAACGTTAGCTTAAACAGTAGTGGGAAAAAGTTAGGAAATTTTAATTTTATTTCACTTTCTCTCGATAATACTTGACACGATTTGAGAAAGGACAGAGCCCTTATCTTTCATAGGGTGGTTTGACAAAAAGAGTTTGTTGGGTTGACAACAACTTGGTTAAAATAAAGAAAACTTCAGCCCATCGCTGTATAGTTGTCTGTCAACTCATATTTTTAACCACGGTCAAAACCGCTACCTAACTGTTTCATACTTTGTTTTATGTCTAACATTACGAGTTTGTCACCGGTGTACGAAAAGTTATAAAATGATGGCTACAACGTAACTTACATTGACGTTAGAGAATCAGAGCAAAGAGCATCATAACTAACTTTCAGTAGAAGTGAATGGATTAACCAGTTGTTACGCAGTCGTGTGTTTTAAACAGTGTATGCTATGTGAAAGGAATAAGTAAAAATGGACTCCAGTAGCAATTCTGCTGACGGCTAATATAAACCAATATGCAGGCCTGGGAACTATCACAGTGGTATGATTAATCAGACTGCCGTTAAATTCGGAAGATATCTAATCGTGTGTGAACTCTACTTATAGACACTAAAAATATCTAAACATTGGAGACACCTCAGTTTAATGCTACACCACCAAACAGCCGCCAAAATGACCAAGTTGAACCACCTAAATTAGAACTCAGACAATTAGTTGATTCTGATCAACAGAAAGTGAATCACAACGTTTTATATAAAATATTGTTCATTTAAGCCTTTTTTTGTAAAGAATAAGTTAACTGGGTCCAGCTTTTCAAATGTGAACATTTACTGTTTTTTTTTTCGATGTTCTATGATTTTTAAACTGGATATATTTAGATTTTGGATGTCAGTTTTGGCTTTGGAAAACGTTTTGGCTAGGCTTTTAAAAAAACATTTCTGGAACTAAAGACTAATGTGTTACTTGAGAAAAGAATTGACTAAATAAATAATGATGTGAATAATCGTCAGTTGCAGCTCTAAATTCAACGCCTCCTCAACAGTTTTAATAAAAGCTGAACATTATGACCTTCATGAAGCTAGGATTTTGAGCAGGGCTGTTGTTTTTTAGCTTTAGATAGGTGTATCCAATAACCTTGCAACTCATAGTACTCACTGGTACTAATATGACAATAAGTTTATCTTTTAAAAAAGTGAATTGCAGGCTTTAAGCAGAACTCTCATTTTGTTTTGCAGGGTGTTTTAACTCTGCATGGCCACAATACAGGGACTGTTATAATGACATCTCAGATGTGGATGTGAAATTTCCTGCTGAAAGCTAACTTCAATTACAAGACATCCCTGGACAACTTGCTGTTTCACCACATAATCCATCATGTCGTTACCAAAGGAGTCAGGGAACCGAGGGAAAGATCGAGAGAGGGGGGCACGTCCCAAGGTGAGACAGAGCCGGTCAGAGGAGAGACGAGACGCAGATGGTGGACGGAAAGGTGGAAAGGGGAAGAAAAAAGGCCTCGCCTCCCATGAACCAGCAGCTGAGAGGCCTGTCAGTGATGGCTTTGAGTATGGTGATCTTTTGAGTGACCTAGAGGCCGGGGACCAATCTTCCTCTCCTCTGAAGGAGAGTTGGAGATGGCAGGGTTTAGAAGTTGCTGCCTCATTACTAGGACAAGAACTGGTAACAGCCAGGCCAGGACTGGGAACAGTTAGCTCGGCTACAGAGTTACCTGCACCCAGTGAAGGTGAGGGCAGAGGGTCAAGCAGCAGTCGCACACTCCGGCAAAAAATCCAAGATGCAATGGGGCAATGTTTTCCAATAAAGACACACAGTGCAGCAGAACCAGCATCACCTCCACAGGCTCTTTCATCATCAACTGTCTGTGCCTCCTCAAGGCGCAAGATCCATCTCAGTGAGTTAATGTTGGATGACTGTCCTTTCCCTGTAGGATCAGAGCTGGCTCAGAAGTGGTATCTCATAAAGCAACACACGGCCCCCATTACCCAGCCCCCGATGCTTGATCCAGCAGTTGTGTGCAGTGCCCCTACTTCAGCCATGGCTGCTGTGGTGGAGGACGTAGATGACAGGTTGCGAGAGCGCAGGCGCATCAGCATCGAACAAGGTGTGGAGCCACCACCTAATGCAGAGATCCACACATTTGAGGTGACGGCACAAATTAACCCTCTCTACAAGCATGGCCCTAAGCTGGCTCATGGTATGAATGAGTTAGCCGGGACTGACAGAGCCTCCGTTCATCAGCAACAGCAGCTTCTTCTCCAAAGTCAGCAGCAGCACCAGCTCCTACTACAGAGCTGTTTAGACACTCTCGATGAGGTGGTGGCCTCTGCCTCTGCCTCTGCCCACACCTGTGATACTGTTTCTGACCCTCTGGTTGACCCACAGGTTACAGCGACCAGCATGCCCTCTAGAGCCATACTTCCTCAGGCTGAGCATCACAAATCTCAAGATGGCTATCGCATTCACACTCAGATTGATTACATTCACTGTTTAGTTCCTGACCTGCTGCAGATCACCAACCTCCCATGTTACTGGGGGGTTATGGACCGCTACGAGGCAGAGACGCTGCTAGAGGGAAAGCCTGAAGGCACCTTCCTCCTGCGTGACTCTGCCCAGGAAGACTACCTCTTCTCCGTTAGCTTCCGCCGCTACGGCCGCTCGCTACATGCGCGCATTGAACAGTGGAACCACAATTTTAGCTTTGATGTGCACGACCCCAGCGTCTTCCACGCTCCCACAGTTACAGGATTGCTGGAGCACTACAAGGACCCCAACTCCTGCATGTTCTTCGAGCCCCTGCTGTCCAACCCCATCCATCGCACACAGCCCTTCTCCCTGCAGCACATCTGCCGAGCTGCTATAAGCAGCTGCACCACCTATGATGGCATTAACATGCTTCCCATTCCAAATGCTTTGAAAAAGCACCTGAAAGAATACCACTATAAACAGAGAGTACGTGTACGTCGAATGGACACCTGGTGGGAATGAAGAACAAAAAAAATTGATTAAAAGAAACATTTTAAGTCTCCCAAACTGAACCGAACAATGAGTCTTCACTCTATCTGGCTGTATTAACCTACACTGCACTGTACTTATTTATTTTATTCCTGCTGTACATGTCTTAACAGTTATACTAAAGTACACTGATGAGACTGTATGTAATCTCACTGATCTTGTACAGTCAAAGTTCTTTATGCTCAAATTAAACAAACTTATTCAGATCTGTGGTGTTCATAGAACTAACCTCACATGTCAACTGCGTTTGAGTGTGACTAAATTAGCTTAATTATCTGACGATGGGGGGGAATATCCCAGTGTGAATCGAGATGATTATAATAGTTGTTCATCAGTCACGTGCTGGGAAGGTGGAACACATTCTGTCAAGTGTTGTTTTTTTTGTTTGTTTTTTTTCGTTACTGAAGTATAGAAGTGCAACACATCTGCAGGATTAATCATTGTTTCTTACATTGAGCCCAGGGCTGATTATAGGAGGTGAGGTGTAGGTGAATATGCTACCTGTTCTTATTAAAAACGAGATATCTTGCTCTAAATAGATATTTGTCACGCACTGACATCATGATTACAAGCTCACATTAGTTTTCAGTACTGTGATTTGATTGCAGCAAAAGATGAAGAGTAATGTTACAACAAGTAGTAAATGAATCTTATGCTCAGAGCCTACATCAATCAGCTGCTTTGTTTTCAGCTTACATCATATAAATGTCTGTGGTTTCTCCTTTGAGGTTAAAATGCATGCAGTCAGTGCCAACGGTCTTCATTAGTTTTGAAGTAAAGGATCAAATGTAGCCTTCATGAACTTGTCAGCAGCAGGTGAAGCAGCCGTACTATCAGAATGCAAATCACAAAGCCCCAGACATTTATGGACCTTATTTTGCTCAAAATTTGACAGTTGCGTCCAGTTCCTTATTTAATCTTCCTTAGCCCAGAGGGTCGTGTTTTCTTTTATATACCGGTACCTACCATCCAATTGTGGTGTGAAGAATCCAGAGCCTCGAAAAGATCATCTTGTTGCTATACTTCCTGCTGTGCATATTTGAAAGAGGTGGGGTGTCTGCACACTATAATCTTTCATTCCAGCAGTTCAATGACAAAATGAGCATAGTGAATTGGCACTGATTAATCTAAATTAACAACAACAATAATGTGTTTTTGAGCTTTTTTTCTGCAACTTGACATTAAGGCAGTTACAGAGATGACAATCTCTGGAAAGCTCTGCAAAGAGGAATCAGTCCATAGCTAACTACCTAAAGGCAAAGAGGAGAGGTAAAGCTCAAAATTCAGGATATGGATGTAAGTCAAGGGACAAATGCTTACAGTCCATCTTATGGGAGTACATGGTATAGTTTACTATTTTGCGTAGTATACCTGTCATCAACTCTGGTACATCGACAAAATATTGGAAGTCACCTTAAAATGCACGTGAATTT